CCCCAAAACCCCAAAACCCCAAAACCCCATGGGATATATAAATGATTGGCATATAAATTATAATAAAAATTGCGCAATGTCCTTTATCAGAAAAGAATCGAGCTTTTCACAGGATTCTGAGAAACTTATCAAGTCACACAAGCAAGAGATGAGTGTCATGGACCAGGTCAGGTCTGTCCTCAGTAATGATATCCATTCATTTGAGATTCAGGAACCAGGGCAGGGCGAGGAGACACCTACCAAGAATAACACATTTTTGGGGTACCTTTTCATGTTCATTTCTGTTTTTGGTATCACATGGGGACATATTTTCTCAAAGGTTGCTTTCACCAGGAATCCAGCACTTGGAGGTATAGACTGTGTCACATTCTTCGGAATCTGGCTCTGTATTGTATACATCACATGGTCGAAAATCCTGGGAGTAAAGCTATCAGTCACAAGTTTACCAAAGACACCATTAATAGCACTTCTGCTAAGTATTGGTGTTACGTTGTTTACCCAGTTGGGCCTGTTCAAAGCTATTTCTTTGATCCCAGTAGGAAAAAGTACTCTTATTTTCAGCACTAATCCTATATTTAGCGTGATCTTATCGTTCCTAATATTGAGAGAGGGCTTATCAAAATCGATCATTTTCTCAGCCCTTGGAGCCTTTGTGGGAATCTACTTTTTGTCACTGAACAAACAAGGTGAGGATGAAGAAGGTAATAGCCTGATCATTGGGATCATTCTTGTGTTAGTATGAGCATGGCTGCAAGCAGTCATTTTTATACTTGTCAGAATTATCAGTTCCCAGAACATCCATTTTACGGTTCGACCTGCAAATGTCGGGATGTTTTTCATCACTTTTGTGATGCTTTACAATGGGGTTTTGCTAGCGACTGGGCACCCAAATACGTTCCAATATGATTTAGGAGACGTCATTTTGCTATCATGAGTTGGACTCGGTTCTTGATTGTGTATAGGGCCACTAAGTTTAGCCATGCAGTATGAAGAAGCCTCAAAATTGTCGCCTCTTCTTTATACAGAGAACATTTTCACCTTGCTAGCAGACGCTTTGGTGTTTAACTACACCTTTGCAAGTTCTGACTATATTGGAATTACAATTGTAGGTATTTGCTTGTTAACTCCAGTGGTAATCAAGTTCTACTTAAGATCTTAAGCCAGTAGGATTTCAACACGTATCTGACTAATTGGGGTTTTGGGGTTTTGGGGTTTTGGGGTTTTGGGGTTTTGGGG